ACTACTACTACCAATACTACTACTACTACCACTACTACTACTACTGATAGTACTACTACTACTACTACTACTACTATTACTACTAGTACTAGTACTACTACTACTACTACTATTACTGATACTACTACTATTACTACTACTACTATTACTAATACTACTACTACTGCTACTACTACTACTACTACTACTACTACTATTACTACTACTATTACTGATACTACTACTATTACTACTACTATTGCTACTACTACTACTACTACTACTACCATTACTACTACTATTACTACTATTACTACTACTACTACTACTACTACCATTACTACTACTACTACTACTACTACTACTACTTCTTCTTAGGTCCAAGTTGTTTTTTGTGCTAGCCTTTGGATGAAGTATATGAACACTGGCTCACCCATGTTACATTGCCTCCACTTTCTCTTACGAAGGCACTCTTGAAAGGTCCGAGAGGGGCGTTCTTTTAGTCACTTGTTATCATACCCCAAGCTGAAGATGTCGTAGTAGATGGCGGAGCATACCCCTGGGGGTTCGGTCCTCAAGCGACCTCACAACAGCAAGCTGATAAACCCACACCATGGTCAAACACTTTGATGACATATCTAGGTTCGAGCAAGCACAGAATTCGGGGAAGTTACATGCGAACCTCAAGCGACGAAGCTTGGCACCGACATAGCTCAGGCTCCCGAAAAATGTGAGCGCTCGCCAATATGATAGAGTATGAGTCCGATATGGGAATGGTTCCTAGAGAAGGGACCCCTAACAAGCGAGCTGCCCGCTGCCCACAAGCTAGAACCTTGCCCTTGCCAGGTACTAGGACTGTTGGTATTCTCCATCACCGTTTAGAACTTTGGGCCCCCTACATCCTCAACGCAGCAGGCATCCTTTCAAAACATCAAGCGCTGGAACGAGCAGATCGAAATGCATGGCTCAAAGGCCCAGTCTGGAAGTTGTGGTCCTCAACTTTCTCCCCTATTGATACATAATGGCCAGCCACGGTACCCTGAAGAGTTGTTGTGGCAAGTGGAATACGTTAAGCCCCGTGGGCTTCAAGGAGGTATTTGGTGGCGTCTTCAGACCCGAAAGTACTGTAGGTACTATTTGTGGATGTTCCTGTAACCCCAATTGCCTACAGTTTGATAGTAATTACCCCTTAATTAGTAGGTATAACCCATAAAACTGTAGGTAGTTGGGGCCACAGGTTGAGCCTTATCGCTTCAAATCGTGCATCAGCTTTGTCCCTCACGCAGAGATGAGACGGATATGTAACCCCTCAGAACTACTTATATCACGTGAATTTCCCTGGCTTCATGTCTATACATGATACCTACATTGGGCCCCAATGTTTATAAATAGTGCCTACATCGGGCCATTTGGAGCCCTAGGGTTGAGAGGGTCGCTAGACAGCCCAGCAGCACGCCACGTAAGGAATCTGCAGAAGCAACTCCACTAGAAAGGGTCCGTTAATGCCGGAGCTTCGCTTTATGTAGCTGTAGTTCGCATGCAGCAATACCGGCATTGCCAAGCAGACAAGCGCCCGAACATCTGTTGATTAGGTGACTAGGGCACTGCTACTAGTAGTTGTAGTATAGCACTTCGGGAGGTGTATGATTGTTGGGTACTAGGTTTCTTTAGGGACTCCTTCAATGTCAAGGAACGATGCTGGCACCCTTCACCAACATCTGTTTGGGTCGCTTTGAAGGGACTTGAAGGAAGTTACCGTGTTACCCCAACTATGGACGATCACGCGGAAAATGACATTGCACATGGAAACCAGGCTTATCCAGGTGTCTGAATTAGCAGAATATGGACATCTGGTGAACAAGATGGTTTCCTTACAACGGTGGCTCAAGTTGACTTCCTGACACCAATGCCATTGTTTTCAGCTGGTCCCACAGTCTACCCGTACCTAACTGCTGAGGGGTTTAGGGTCTAGGGCGCTTGAGGGCCTATAGTGGGAATATGTAGCGGTCACCAGGGGATCCTGGGCAAGTCCGAGAAGATTTCCCATGTGTTGCTAAACAGTTCTCAAAAAGTGCAGCATCTGGGACTAATAGCTACCCCTATGCAATGACAGACCCGAAGCGCCAAGCCGCAAGCCACAAAAGCAGACGCCCTGATCAACGAAAGGACGTCCAACGCATCCTGGTTGGAAACAAAGCCGAGACCCTGGATCGGATTTACGACAGAAACCGAATCAATCAATAAGGTTCCAGATACGTTTTAGACGTAAATCAGATGCGACATATGGTATACTTCAAAGACACGCTGCATACGAATACCTACTGCCACCGGACTACTGCATCATAAGCTCCTGCTGCCTGTGTCATGAAAGTACTGAGACAGTCGGAGGGATATGAGGGTCCCAGTACAGCATTGCAACAAATTATATGGAGGCCAGTTTGCATATCCGGGGCTGGCCAAACTAGCGAAGCTTTCCAATCGTTGTGCGCCCTTATTTCTCCAAGTGAATGTTGAAGCACTGCACATGACCTAATTTCTTCTAGCCTATTCGGTATCATTGCGTCAGGATTGCAACCAGGATGGTTTTAGGGTGTATTTCTCATACATTCTCATCGTCCGAGGAAAGGTTTTCAAGCCAAGGTTCCGTGTAGGGGTAGCATGCAAGGGGATGTCCGCAATCTGCTTGAGCTGGCACGGCCTGAGGGCTGACACTGAATATTCGAGCATGCAAGTAGCCCTGAGCGTTAGTTCAACGCGTACTCAGCCCAAAGGTCCCTGCTGCTGCACGCAAGTTTGGAGCTGACTTTTTGAATTCAATCCCTAACTCCTAAACCCTGAACAACTCAAGGTTCTCCAGCATACAGTTTTCACCTTTCTCCCAAGCCCTGAACTGGGAGCACTGACTTGGCCGGCTGAGAAAGAAGCAGGGACATGGAGCGGTCTACATCAAAGGCTTACAAAAAAATGGCTGTCCCACCATCGAAAGCTGGACTGGCCACCATTATGGCAGGGGGGTTCACAACAAAGCCCAAGCCACAGCAAGTCAATATATTGCAGGCATCGCAAATCGTGGACGACGTAATAGCTTCCTTCATCCTGCCCACGTCACTTGAAGCAGCGTACACGACGATTGATCTGGGCGGAAGACTCACAGAATTGCAAGTGGCCTTTGAGGGGTCCTAGTTCCACAACGTGGCCCCCTCCTCTAGGCCGCGAAGGGTAGACTACCCTACAGGTAGCGCAGTATCCTCAAGCTCGGAAAGTATTCAGTGCAACTTAGGAGCTGTGAGCTCTCAACCCCTGCGCCCCGTTGAGCGCTTCAATTGCATGTTGGTGACAAGTGACAAGCGTGTTCTGAACTAATACCTTCTATACCCTATGACAGTTGCCCAAGGAGGCCAAAGAAACTGCTGAATGCCTGTGTGCGTTCTGGCTTGTCCAGCTTTAGAGTCTCCAAACACAAATTTAGACCCTAAAAACCTGAATCCAATGGACCCGAGTAGCAGGTTTGAAGTAGAAAGGGTGGAGCTATAGGTACTCTAGCTTGCCCTAAGCGCTACACCCTATATAACCCCAATCTACTACAGTAGTTTCCATTTTCTCTTCCATTATCCTTATATATACCCCTTATAGACCCTATATACTGCCCGATGCCTTCTGCAACCCACGCAGCTCGAAGTAGTGTGAGCAAAGCGCAACCATCCCTAGACGAACAGGAGACCTCACCTGAGCTATGGCCTCAACTCCTTGAAGGGGATTTACATAGGATTTAGGGTTCAGGGATTAGGGTTTAGGGTTTGAAGTCCTTACAGTGGATTGTACAGGGGAATGCATAGAGGCTCCTAGATGCACCTTCTTGATAAACCCAATACAAGCGAGTGTGCCCGGGCACCGTGTGAACATTTTTTCGGAGGGAGTCGGTTCGGTAGGGGATGTAGTCTAACTCCAAACCCTATATAAACCTTATGAACCCTAAACCCCTCACACGAAGTCCTCACCCCCCGCGCTTCTGGTTCGAGGAGTGGATCTTTATGGGTTGAAGTCATTGAAACTCGACCACAGCTTATCTGAAAACGGCAGTGGTCCTGAGTCTTACTCATTGTTGGTAGGGAATAGGGGATAGTACGTTGGGGTTGTATTCCCATATGTTTTTTTCCCCAAAACAAGGGGACCCCAATATAGACCCCAAAATACTATAGTCCTTATTATAGGGGCCCCCAAAAAGGTACCCATAATTCTAGGAAACCCCCTTACCAACAAATTTAAACAGTAAGGAGTAGTTCCTACAGATCATTCTGGCAGGTGGGTCCGGGGGAGGGTTTAGGGTTTAGGGTTTAGGGTTTGGGTGGATAATAGTTTGGCGGAGATCCAACGGAAGCTTAAGCTGTAAAGACCCTAAACCCTGAGCCATCAACAACTACGCTAAACCCTAATACGGGTGTGGTCAACCATGCTCCCCTAAATCTGTGTATTCAACCCTAAACTGAATACTGAATATGTACATCAAGCTCCCCTAAATCTGTGTTCTCGAACCTAAACTCCTAAACTGAATATGTACATGTAGAGTTCTGCAGAGGCCGATGCCGAGGACATCGCCGTATCCCCAGAGCGTGGGCGTCAGCTGGCCGAGCAGTGGGGGACCCCAAAGGGGGGTTTAGAGTTTTGGGTTCTGGGTTTAGGGACTTCAGCGTCCCTTTTCAAGGGAGGCTACTGGGTTGTGGTTAGGGAACTTAGATTAAGTTGCCATGATGGGTATATATGTAGTACTTGATATGGTTCGCCCAATACAGTAAGTTGAAATAAGTTCCTTAACAGCAACCCAGCTTAGAGGAGTTCAGAATCCCCAGGGTTGGGCTTCAGGGTTTAGGACTCGGGTTAAGGCTTGCAGGCTTGGATTTCATAGGGCTATTCCCTTAATTACTATTACTAATGTTATTCTATTCCTGTTCTTTTCATTGTTCTTATGATTACTATTAGAATTAGCATTACCATCATTATTCCCACTAATTGTTATTACTATTATTATTACTATTATTCAAGTCAGGCCTAGGGTGTAGGATGGAGTGCTATGGTTTCAGGGCTGAGGCTTCCGGGCATACGTTTATCCTTTAGGGTTTCAGGGTTCAAAAATCAACGTATATGGTCAAGAGTTGAAGCCTTGGGGTTCAGGGCCTAAGGCCTAAGATGCTATCATGTTTGGGGTAGGTGGGTTGTTAAGGCGTTTCTGAGGGCCCATTGCAGACCTCCGAAACGAAAGGATCTCTTTCTTGTTGGGTCCCTGCCTCCGTAGGAAATCCTCACTCTTGGCAAAGCCTTGCTTGGGGAGTTGGATTTTGATCATATTACAGCCGTGGATAAGGGTACATCACATGATCGGTGGTTGAGAGCTAAGGGTATAGGAGAGAGTACAAGACCCGGGTACCTCCAGCTGTGTAGAGAGTTTTGGACGGGGGTTTGCCTAGGTGCAAAGGCAATTCTGGAGGCGGGTTGGTTTGTAGGCTTTATAGTAAAGGGTCTAGTTTTCAGAGATAAGCTTTTGGGTCTCGGGATTCTTGTGCATAACCAGCCCGAGCGCGGCGAGATAGGTCACAGACCCGCCCCAAGGCATCCGCGAAAATGGATACTGCAAGAGACTTCTGTATTGAGCTCATGGAAGAGCTCACAGATTATGATTTCAAGTTTAGGGTCCCACGTGGGGTTCTTAGCGTGCTCAGGCAGCATAGCTTGACCCTGCTTCTTCGGATGCGGCTTCAAATCTAGGATCTAGACTTGGGGTTGAGTTTTTGGCTACCTCGGCTGAGTGGACGGCACTTGATGGTTCGTCGCTTGTGGTCGAGGGCCTAACGACTTGGGTCTGCGGGTTCATAGCTTCGTCACGAGGCGAGAAAGGTAATGCTGTGACTTCATACATGCTTAGTAGCAACGCCCGTTTGGAATGTATGGGTCTTAGTCACAGTTTTTTTGCTGGCATCATCTCTCAAGTTGCGTCCTGGCTGAGCCAGTGAGGGTTGTTTTCCCCAGAAATCCAGGACCAGAACACGTAGGAGAAAGTTTGCCAAACTAATACTCATTACAGGGCATGTGATTCTGGTGTGTTTTGGACACGCTCTTGAGATATTCTCTGGTTTTCATAAATTAGGAGGCCCCCTTCATACCCCAATAATTTCTGCTCTTAATCCCCATGAAAGGGACACTAAAGACAGAAACCCTCCTTAATCCCTATGAGGAAGACTTAGACGGAAGGCTGGACTTGACTTGTTGGTTTTTAGTAGGGAATGGATGCATGGATCCTTGCAGCAGCCCATGCATATCTGAAGCAATGTCATTTTCTGTCCGTTCCTTCGTTCCCTACTCACAACCATCTAAACCCTAAACCCTAAACCTTCCCCTAGGGATCCAAATAGCCCAATGTAGGTCATATTTACAGACTTTGGGGCCCAATGTAGGTATTATTTGTATACTTGGATCCCTAGGGTTAGTTAATCCGGGAAAAACGAAAGGTTGCCGCGCAGACGATTGGGTGGAAGGTGTAGTTTATCAGCAGGAGACATGCCCGACTTAATCGATATGAGCCATAATCTAAACTCCTTACATGGAGTTATATAGGGGATCATATAGGGGACGGCTATAGGAGTTATCAGCTAAGGTGGATACTCGGAGTCTAGACTATAGCTCATATACTGTTTCTATTGTTAAATGCTATCACCATCACTTTTGCTAGCACTGTTACTCTTACTGTATTTTGCACGAGAAAGGTCCAGAGGTGTGGAAAACCGAAGCTGGAACGACATGCCTATTTCTCACAATGATCGCATATACTGTAGTCCTTGATAGTGACCCCCCCCCCCCCCCCCA